GAAACTCACAGCTCTGAGCTGGAGTGGGGAAGAGAATGTTGTGTTAATACAGCTTTGGAGTACAACCTTCTATTTTTGTTTGTTTTGTTTCCTTTTAATTTTTTTTTTTTTAAACAGCACAGAAAAGGAGACCATAAACAGCTAAGGCAAACTATCCAATGGCACATCAGGACCCTTTTTCTGTCATTCATTATGTTGACATCACAAGGCAGATACATTCTGTAAACACATATGCTATACAGTACATTAACCATATAAGGAGAGGAAAAGAAAGCCACCCTGTAGGTATTTTCTTTCTGGGATTTTGTTCTTTCAAGTCAGAAGGAGTTGTGAGGAGTCTAGGGAGAATTTTATGGTTGGTGAGAGGTGCTTTTATTTCGATTTAAAAAAAAAAAAAAAAGCAGTGACTTGAAAGGAAAAAAAAAATCTTCAGGTGTCCAGTTAGAGGCAGTAGGGGAGGAAATGACCATTCACATCTTAGTCTGTAGAAGCTTAGAAATAGTCACAAAATATAAAAAAGTCATGAACATCAGGAAACTTTTTGTTTTCCTGACTAGTAAGAGAAAACAGTGAAAAATTACTGTTATTATCATCATCATTATTATTGTTACAAAAGTTAAGGCTGTCCAGATCTTTGATGCACCAAGTCTGTGGTCCCTCAATTACCTGTGTTCACCCTGACAGCTAGGTTTTTGTGTGGCAGTTCTGACCTTCTGCTGTTAGACCAGAGTGGGGAAGGGAAACAGAGGCCTCAAGTGTGTAAAAATTAAGGTGGGGGAGTTGGTCGGAGGATCACCAGTGAAATGTCCTTTTAAAAACTTTAGGACGTAGTCTTCATACATCCCTACATTTAAACAGGCAACATTTGGAGTTTTAGTGGAGTGGGGTTTAAAAAGTTTGCTGAGATCGTAAAGACTCTACTCCTCTAGTGAGGGGTTTTAGTTTTTCTCTAGAAGATGCCAGCAGGTGTTCCTGGCAAGTCCTAAGGAAGGCTAGGCTGTGAGGGTGAACCACCAGCAGGAACCTAAGACCCCATTTTTCTCATTAGTTTGAGCTGTTTTATATGTACCAAACAGCTCCAAAGCGGCTGCAGTGTTTTCTAACCCAGTAAAACAAAGGATGCTTTCCAGGTCTGTCCTAATCAATACACCTTGATTTGGAGACCATGGAGCTGTCAAACAATTGCATATTTATAACGTTTTTGAAGACTATTTCTTTACAATGCTGGGAATTTATGGGCTCAGGTATAAATGTGAATATTACAAAAATACAATGTGAAGCTGTTCACCTTGGACTGCTTTAAACTGTAAACTGGCACTGCAGATGAGGGTGCATTAAAAGGGAAGGGCCCACTAGTGAGTTAAGCTCTCCAGTGGGAGCAACCACGATAGGTAACCCAGTGTCTAAGAACAACATCAACAAGAAAATATCCCCAGTGTGCTGGGCGCAGTGGCACACGCTTGTAATCCCAGCACTCTCTTAGCAGGGGCAGGTGGAGCTCTGTGAGTTTGAGGCCAGCCTGGTCTACAAAGCAAGTCCAGGACAGCCAAGGCTACACAGAGAAACTGTCTTAAAAAAACAAAACAAACAAACAAACAAAAGATCCCCCAGTGTGTGTGTTCTGTCTACCTTCATCTATGTTTCAAATGGACAGGTTCAATGTTCATTAAGAAGGAAGGGCCTGGGCAAGTGTTTTGATATTTTTGGCTCTATCAGCTTACTTACTCTGTTCTTTTCTGATACCCACTGCTTCTGGCATTAAGTGATTTACAGTTCTTAAGAGTGTTCTGTGGTTCCTGGATAGAGAATTCTTCTAGAAGGGAAGGAATTTGGCTCCAGAGTTCTGTCTCAGAGATGATACCATATCCCTGGGAAGCTCTCTATATTCATTTGCCTTTTTATAGAATCTCAATACAGAAGGGATTTTTTTTTTTTTTGGCCCTTTCCTCAATGCTGCCAATGATAAGTGGAATCACCAGACACTAGCAATTTGTTAGCAGCAATTTGTTTTTCTGTCGTTATATAAGGAAAATAATACAATTATGGGTAAAAGATTTAAAAAAAAAAAAAAGAATCCCCTAGGTTTTATCTTACTGCATGTTAAAAGAAAGAAAAAAATGTCAAGAATATTCAAGTCATGAAGACTCTTTAGATATGTAGGGCTAGACTTGGTCATTGTAACTGTCAGTGAATCTAATTAAATACCATTGAAATAAAAATAAGCATTCCTTTCCTCCATTTTTTAAATTTTCTTTAAAAAGGAATTGATTGTGTACAGATACACACAATATATATATAATATATACATGTATGTATTAAACACATATGTGTGCATCTGTACTTTTTTTTTTGAGATCAAGTTTCACTATGTAGCCCTGGTCAACCTGGGCTTGCTATACAGACCAGGCTGGCCTCAGAATTTGCCTGTGTCTGCCTTCCTAATGCTGAGATAAAATATGTGTTCCATCATGCTAGGTGGAAATAGGTTATATTTTAAAGAGCAGCCCAACTGACATTAGCTCAAAACAAGATTGTGGGTTTTGCAACTTCATCATGAATTCTTTATTGTGGTTATGTCTGGTTATACAACCACACAACCACATATTTTGTTTGCAGAAGGGGCAATACCACAAGTAATAACGAGAGAGAGGGAAAGAGAGAGAGAGAGAGAGAGAGAGACTGAGACTGTCAGTAGCATGGGAAAGACAGAGTCACAAACACGACTCTGCTGATTTTCTTCATCAAGGCTATAACTTGATGCTGTAGGTGGGCTGATCAAGCTCATTCCAATAAAAGGATTGCTTGAGCCTGAATCCCCCACAGAGACTGGAATAGTATGCAAACATCAGTCATGTTCAGACACACTTTCACTTACTGTAGCTACAGATAATTTTAATAAGGGCAATATGTCTTACTTCAAATAAATGGTATTGTTTAATAACAAAACTATAGAGCAAATCCTAACTTAGAGTTTACCGGTCACTTGCTCATTATAATGACCACCAGATGAGGGGGTGTTATCCTTGGTCCTTGAGATCTTTTGAAGAGTGGGAGGTACAGACTGCTGTCTTCATAGATAAGTAGTTCTCTTAAGGAAGGGCAGGGGTGCTGTATCCCAGAAGCTCCAAACAGCAGGCCCAGGGGCTGGGAGATTTGCTGTCCACCCCCTCAATGAGCGTTTGAACCTCACATTGCGCAGTCCAAATCCCCAAGAGAGTAAAAGAGATAGGCGAAGTAAACTTTTAGATTGTATATTCCCCACATGAATCCTTAAAATGATAGATTGTCTAAATCCATGGGAACTAGTTTTTCCCTTTGTGGAAATGGGTTTGTCCACATGGCGTTTTGTTCAAGGCTTGTGTGCTATTTAACCACTGAGGAAAATGAAGCTGAGAGCTGTAAGGGCTGCTGGTACTGGAACCAGGTTTCCAGACAACAGAACCTCTGCATCCTACCTCAGCTACTTTTGGGAAGCCCAGATCTAGCGATAATTTCCCAGTTATCTCACAGGACACCACGGAGGGGTAATTTGAGAAACTTAGCTCACTCCTTTGCTATTCCTCTACTTAATTTTTTCTTATTTAAATATTAAAGATTAAAAATGACTCATATTGTACTGAATAAAAATGAAACTAAATGAGAAAAAAATAACAGCAACAAAAATGTCATTTCTCTCTAATCATAATAAATATAACTTCAAGTCAAGAAATAACAGATTTATCATCAGACAAGTTAAGTGGGACAAATTTAGTTGGCTCTGTGCTACAATCCTCTAGGCTTCCTTATATATGGAATATAAAATAATATAATATATGCTATTTTTTTATTTTGTTTTTTTCTGAGCTATTTCCAAGACAAGTTAAGACTTGCTGTGTTAGGTCATGGTATATGGTTCTTCCACAGGAACATACATTATTCTGTTACTGGTTTGTATGATAATATGAGTTTCTGGGTAAATAAAATTATGTTTAAAATTAGTTAAAAACATCACCATGTCATCTTGTTCCTCCTGCACTGGGGCTCTTTTTCTAAATCCCTCCCCTTTGGTTTCACTAAACACATAGCTGTTCAGTTTGGGGCAGTGCTAACAACGTAGTTCAAGGGCTGTTCATCATGTTTTAAGTTAAAAAATTCTTCAGTATTTTACAGTTTCCAGAAATTGAAGAAACGATGCTTTAGGTAGCTCAGGAATGTGACACCCAGTCAGATCTTTCTTCATCTTTCCACATTTTTCACCTTGAAAATCTTTTTTTTTTTTTGAGTGGAGAGCTGTACGCATTGAGAATAGCTGAAACATTCTCTTACCCACAGGGACATTAAAAAAAAAAAACAGGCACAAATGAAAGACTAATCAGCTGGGCACGGGGGACGGACGGCTAACGTGCACAGCACCATCCTTGATACAGTGGGGTGTCAACCACAGCCCCCCCAGGTCGGAAAGGCTGTCGTAAGGAATATGGTCACTGCAGAGAGACTTCTCAAAGCGATGCCCTCTTTGAAAATAGATGATTTCGATCAGAAAATATCCATGAAAAAGAAAACAATATAAAACTTTACATTTTGGGGGGAGCATGAAAACACGGCTTATGGATTGGCGAGCATTGTGGATGCTGGAAACAATGGTGGCCTGAGGTCCTTAGAAAATCCCGTATGAAGGGTTCATAAGGTAAGCCATAGAAAGAGAGAGCTGCTGCTCCACAGGTGAGGAACCAGGTCCTCCAGCAGCAGGGACAGGCATGGGTTCTTTGCTTTAGAGTCAACTTCATTTCGGGTTTTAGCAGAAGGAAATTACAATACTCTAATCTGGAAGCTTTATGTAAGGCAGCAAAGAAAAACATCATCCTAGAATGGCCAGATTAAGGTAGGTCCACTTTTGGCTACGCTAGCAACCGGCTAGAGCCCACAGCATTTTGCTACACAAGATTAAAAAAACAAAAACAACAACAACCCCCCCCCCCAAAAAAAAAAAAAAAAAGATCCACACAGCAAAGGAGGCAGGTAAGAAGCCAGGGGCGTGGCAGTGTGTGTGTGTTTGTGTGTATTTGTGTCTGTGTTAGCGGAACACACGGAATGAAAACCCCTGGTGCCAATGGGTTTGAGTCCGGTCAAGTCAATTAAGGCTACAAGATAACCAGCTGCTATGAAGAGTCCACTCCAATCGAGCAGTACGGCACTGATTCGCTCTTGAAGACACAAGGAAAGACTTAAAGGAAAAAGTAAGTTCTTGGAGAAGAGGGGGCGGGGATGAAGCACACACATGCACGTTGTTTCCCAAGTGAGGAGAAGGAGAGATGTGAGTGAGAGATCAAAGCAAATCCAACTGCGAGGCAAGGCAGGTGTTTGCTTCCAGTTCACAGTATCGCAGTTAGTGGTACAGTGAGGTCTATTTAAGAGGTGGAGAGTAGACAGGCTGCCCGGAAGAAAGAGGAGGAGAAAGAAGTGGTCACATGACAACACAGCATTGACAGCGCTTTTTCTTTTGGGTACCTGGGTCGGGGTCTGCGGCTAGGCTCTCTTCCTTGCCTTCTGGAGATGAGGGTTCTGTGGTGTCTGACACCAGTCTCCCGGACACCAGCTCAGCTGCGTTTCCATCGATGGTGGACACGTCCGTCACCGTCTTCTCTCTTAGTGACTTCTCATCATCTTCATCGATCAGGACTAATTCGGCCTTGATAGTTTCGTCGTAGCCTAGCACCTTTTTAGTCTCCTCTTCATCCTCAATGTTTTGGTAGCCCATAAAAATCATGGTGACGGGCTGATCCAGGTTTGCCTCTGGCCCTTCTGTGCTGGGGGGCTGGGCCTGCTGCCCGGGGTTTCCTGAAGAGTGATCTTTCCTGGACTTCTGCACCATTTCTAACTTGGCTTCTTTGCAGAGCATGTGTTCTTTGGGATGGCCCAGGCTCCCGTCTGCAACAACAGTCCTTTCTGAGATATGTCCTCTGAAGCTCGATTGTCCAGCCTTCTGAATTAGCTCTTCCACATCCTCTGCGCTTAATCTGTGGACTCCATTCTCTACCACAGTGCCTCCTGAGTGCACCTCATACACTACTTTGACACCATCATCATAGACTTTGACTCCTCTCTGATGGACCCCCTCTGGGCCAATGGTGGATGCAGAGAGAATCTTGGTCTCTCCTGTTTGTTTGTCTTTCTCCACATTAATTTCCATGGCGTATATAGCTTGAATGGAAACAAGAGAAAGGAGGTGCATGTTACAACAAAAAAGCCAGTGAATGGTTAATTGCCAAACAGACCAAAAAAAAAAAAAAAAAAAAAAGGTGGTTTATGCTCTTTCTACTGTAAGCACCAAGCATTCTGGGTGTTAGCATGAGGTGTACAGTGGATAATGGTGGTTGTGTGTGTTCTTAACAAAGCAGCTTACTGCACTGGGAAGACAGATGCATACAGTCACCATATTTCAATGAACTCAGGCTTTTCAGGAGACCAGCAAAAAGAAGCGACTTCAGCTCTAACAGGATAGAATTATGGGAAGGCCAGTAACATGCAAATGACCTTGACTGAGATCTGCTTAGGCTTCTAGACAACTTCAAAGATGTGCCTAAGTTCCAGAACCTTACAGCAGTTTCCCCAACTCTTTCATTAAACATGCATCTATTTTTTTTTTCCTCTACATTTCCTTGTGCTGTTGATGGAGAAGATGCCGAGTGTTTTGCAGGTGGGGCATAGCTGTCCTCCACTACACTACAATTGGCTATTCTGCAAAAATTGAAAGTATGGGACCTCGCGCTCTGTGAGCACTCTAGTTAATTAACAAAGCTTCTTAAAAAAAAAAAAAAAGAGCCAGTGAAAGAACATGTTGCCATGGCACTTGTAACATAGGAACTGGGGATGATGCCCCAGAAGGCCCCAGTTCTTAGTCACACAGTGCTAAGGCTCATGATTCTGTCCCTTTATATTTCCCCCGCCATTGTCTTTTTTTTTGCCTGTTCCACTACAAATTTGCCTGTTGGTCACCAGTATGAGACTCTCCTTTCCCCTAGGCTGAGGAAGTGTCACCCAAGGGACCAGACTCTCGAACCATATCATGTCCTGATGCTGGCTTAGTGCTCCTAAGTACCAGCCCTCTGCACCCTATAGCCTCTTGGGATACCCAACATTTGTGTACAGTGGTTCTCAACCTGTGGGATGAGACCCCTTTTATAGCTGAATGATCCTTTCACAGTGGTCACCTAAGACCATTGAAAAACACAGATATTTATATTATGATTCATGACATTAACGTAATTACAGCTATGAGGTAGCAACGAAAATAATTTTGTGATTGGATGGGTCATCACAACATGAGTAACTACTGAAGGGTCACAGAATTAAGAAAGTTGAGAGTCACTGAACTAGATGGTGCTCAGACGCACTGGGCTCAACAGCTTCAAAAACATGACCGCATCTCCTTCTCTGAACTCTCCCCTCATCTTGGTGTGAGGTGGCGCCAGCAGCACAGCTTAGTCGCTTAGTCTTATAAGCCAGAAGCCTTGAATCATGTCTGCTCTCACCCCTCCTTTCTTATCTCTCACACCCAGTCACTGAGAAGGTCTGCTTCAGGGGTTCCCATCCTTTCCCTCAACACCATCCCTTCCACCAGACCTCCGTCCAGACCCGCTCTGCTCAGCACAGCAGCCGGAGTTCAGGTTTCAGTGACTCCTCTGTTTTCCTTCTCAAGTCCTGAGTACTACACATGAGAACAGAGGGACAAAGCCAGACTGGGACCTATTTTTGTATGACCAGAAGGAAGAATGACTTTTTTGTAAAGGTTGTATAAAGAGAAGGAAGTCATTTGGGAGGTGGAGACAGGTGAATAAAGAATTCAAGCTCATTTTCCACTACAGAGTGAGTGTGAGGCTTTGTCTCAAAAAGAAAAAAAAAAAAAGAAAGAAGGAAGAAGACAGAAGGAAGAGGAAAGATAAGAAGGGAGTAAAGAAGGGGAAGGAAGAGAGGAGTGAGAAAGGAAGGAAATGGAGAGAGAAGAGGAGGAGAGAGAGAGAGATGGAGGGAGAGAAGAAAAAGTAGAGAGGGAGGGACAGAGAGAAGAGAGAGGGAGAGAGTTTGTTAGCATACTGTATGTGGCTCTAAAATCTTCCCAAGCGACCATTTACTGGGAAAGTCTGCTGAGCCTGTAGCTGGTGCTCCACATGCCTGAGTGACCTTCTCAGAACCCTGCTCTTCTTGTCTGTAGGGGTTAAGCACCAACTCCCTGGTGCACACAGCTCCTGTCAGAATCTGTCCCCATCCCTTCTTTCTTCATCTCACAGTCTGTCTTGCTTTCCAGACACACTGGCCACAACCAACCTCACATTATGTTCAAGACACAACCCAGCCTCCTCCTGGGCCCTTTTGTCTAACCTGGTTTTCACCATTCTCCTCCAGTAATCTAGAATCTCAGGCAGCACCCCTGCTCATCAATGCCTGAGCCCCTTCCTTTTTCCAAATATCGACAACCTGCTAAGAAGCTCCCAGTTGCCTTTTCAGCTGTTAAATCCTCTCTCTCCCTTCTCTTCGCATACAACCAAATCACCCATCCTGTATCTAAGCACTTCCTGACTTTTACATTCTCCCCTGCAGCATCCTTTGCACTTTCTACACATCCAAATGCTACAGAGCCACCAGTGTCAAGATCAACTGCTGCTTCTCCCAGGTGCTTTCAGAACCTCTCATCCCTAAGTCACCGTGCTCGTAAGACTTACTGAACACTTTCTAAACGTCTCTGAACACACTAAACAACTTCTACTCAGCAGTGTGTAGTCCAGGTGACTTTGGACTCCAAGTCTTCTCAAATGTTGCGACTATAGCTTGCACCACCACTAGTATTGGTAGGGATGATTTATCAGGTTCATAGTTTGTTGTTTGTTTGTTTGTTTGTTTAAATTCTTGCCTATCATCTTTATGTGATCTTCCATTGCTAGCACCTACCCCAGAACCTTTTCTATAAAAGGTACCTGAAATACACATTTGTGAAACAAATGTGACTAAATGATCTTCACCAGTCACAAATACTTTGTATAATAGAACAGCAAAAAAAGGTTCATACAACAATTAATGTTTGTAACAGTTTAAACAATCAGCAATAACATGACTCCAGTGGCTTGCATGATAAGGTACAATATGTTCAAGGTTGAAACTGAGTTAAAATGATCCAGAAGAAAAATCCAACGCCCAGTTTTTACAATATCCATTTTGAATGTTTTAGCTGCTTGGCAGAAAGATAATGAGTTTTCAAGTGACACTCTGGGAGGCCGACCAATATTTGTCACAGAGGTACATGGGTTCACATACAAAGACTGTGATACAAAACAGGTATTTATCTCAGTGATTTCTTAATTTTTATAGCATGTGATCACAAAAACAAAATGGGTGTTTACAATGGACCCAAAAGCTTGTTTTTAAAATATTACAATGGAATTGAAAGTTCAGATTTGAATTAAAATATCTTGTTAACATAATGATTGACGGTGGCAGGTAGAATATTGAATTATTTCCCAAACTTCTAGTGAAATGTGAACAAAATGATCTGTTAATTCAGCCATCGGTACGAAGCATGGAACAAACCATTTCTATGCTGCTCTGACAGAATACAAATAACTAATCGACTCAGTCTCCATGAGGCTCCTGTATAGTAGACAGAGCAGGGTCTCTGACATTGACTCTGTTGCCTGCTCTTCGATGGTGGGTGGTCTTGATAGGCCACAGAGGAAGAGGATGCAGGCAGTGCTGATGGGCAGTTCTAGGGTCATTTGAAAGGGGAAGAGGACTCCCCTTTTCTGAGGACTATGAGATGGGGAAGAAGGAAGAGGGAAGGAGGGTGGGACCAGAATGATATGAGGGAGGGGGCTACAAATGGGAAATAAAGTGAATACATTATAAAAAATAAATTAAAAAAATAATAACTGAAGATGTTTAGAGATGTCCTGCTCTCTGCCCAGAAGACCCTTAAAATTGGTCCATTGTTGCTCCTTCCCCACCACTGTGCCATCAGCCTCCTTAAACCTCTGCCTGCTCCTAGAAGAGGAAAGTGTTCAGTGGGAGGGAAGGTAAAAGCTGGATGGGGTTCAGACAGAGAGCTGGTGGATGCAGCTGGGAAAGCAGGGAGAAAGGAAAGCAGTTGGTGGGATTTGAGAAGTACCACCGAGTGGAAGTATGAATGAGCCAACGGGCAGGAAATCAAATCTCAAACTCCTCCTAGAGAATCCATATGATGCTCAGGCTGGCCTCAAATTTGCTTTTCAGCCTCATTCTCTAGAACACTGGGATTACAGGTGCAGACCTCTGACCTCTGAATTCCTTATTTTTTGTGTGTCATTTTAAATGTTATTAAGTGTGACACGACACTGGACAGAACCACATGTGAACACAATTTCATCAGGGGCACATAGGCATATTTATAAGTACATATTGCACATGATCAGTTCAATGTTTCTAGAATTGAGCACAGAACATTTAAGTACGTTATAACTTAGATACGTTATATCATTAGGTACACTATCCATACGTACTTATTTTCTTCCAGGTAGAAAGTAAGGTTTCAAAAGGAAGCATATACTATTTATTTATTTGTTTGTTTGTTGTGGATCATTGGGGATGTGGTCCCGATTTCTGTCCGCATTTCTCTTTGGTAAAGGGTACCAAGAAGGAACCACAGAGAACCTCTGACTTAATCAAAGGCAATGCTTAGTCCTCCCAGATGATAACATGGAAATGTTATCTAGACTTCCAGAAAGCTACACTGGGGGTAAGAATGTTTACCTGAATGTTTTAAATGAGTGAATTTGTTTTGTTGTTGTTGTTGTTGTTTGTTTGTTTTGGTTTTGGTTTTCCAAGATAGAGTTTGTTTGTGTAGCTTTGGCTGTCCCAGACTCACTTTGGAGGCCAGGCTGGCCTCAAACTCACAGAGATCTGCCTGCCTCTGCCTCCCTGAGTGTTGGGATTACAGGCGTGTGTCACCTTGCCTAGCTTTGCTTTGGTTTTTAACATACCAAATTGAATGAGGGTAGCGATGAACCAGTAGGATATGATCGCTTCAGTTTTCATTTCCTTTTGTTGGTGGTAGGGTTGAACCCATGGCCTTTTGCCTGATAACTAAGCTTATCAGTGCTCTGTCACTGGGCTACAGATCCAGCCTGAACCCTTTTTTTTTTTTTTAAGACAAAGTCTTGCTATGTAGCCCTATT